AAATAAGTTAGTAAAACTATCTGCCAGTGGGGTAAGCAAAATACTCTTGTTTTACGAATATTCTACTTACTCCACTGGGAGATAATTTTACTCGTTTTAAGCAAAATGCACTTAATATAGTTTTTTTCCCCCTGGAAATAAGACAAATGATCTTATGTAATTTTGCTTATCTAGTAAATGCATCTTAAGTTTTAGATATTTTGACTGGAAGTCAGACAAAAATACTAAGTAAGATAAGCCTTTTTTTTCATCTAATATGTATATTTCTTTCATTTAACAAACTATTTTTAACAGCTTTAGTAGCAAAAACAACACTTATGGATTACTGCCAGCACATTTTAAATGATACCAGTCTTTTTTCTACAGAGTGAAGAAGTGTTGAGCAAGTTTTTGAAAGAAAAGGAAGATATTGGAAATATGATTCTACAAGCTGACCAATCTCTCAGTGAAGCGGAACAGGAAAAAGAGGGTACTGTTCAAATCAGCTGCACACTTCTCTATCATTCAACCATCAGTCAAGGCTCTCAGTGATACACAAGACAATACAATGACTACAAAGAACTGTAACTGACAAACTCGGCAATTGATTTTACATTAGAATTAGTTCAGTATACTGTCTCTCTTTCTTTATGCAGTGCAGCGGTTGAAGAATGAGATTCTAGAGCAGCGGCAAAGAGGTCTAGAGGAACAGAACCGGTTACAGAAGCGGGCGTTTAAAGACATGCAGAGAACCCATAAGGAACATGTGAATCAGATCATTCGTCAGATGGAAAAAGAGCAGTTGAGAATGAGGAGAGACAATGAACGAGTCCTGGAAGCCAAACTAAGAGTAAGAACAGGACACTTTCTTTCAAAACATGTACTTTGCTGTGTTCCAGAGAAGTCACCTTCAAAGGTCAAAGTCATGGTTAGCAATTCTTTCACTTGTGGCGGTTTTGTGTTGTATTGCAGGAGAAGGATGCTCTTCTACGGAAGGGTTTACAGGAGCAAGCCTCCCAGATGCAGAGGCAGATTGACCGCTTAAGATCAGAAATGCATAAAGAAGAAAAGTCAAAACCATCCATAGTCAGCCGGATTATGGATGGTATCGGTGCCACAGCAGAATTGATCTTGCCGGGCTTTGTTAGCCGTGGTCTGTCTGCTGTCTCGAAATGATTCAAATAAGAGCAGGTTTTGCACTGAGTGAGTACTGTATGCTTCTCTCACACATGCCATTCATTCTAAAGGGCTGTTCACAATCAGTGTCCACACCAACGGACAATCATCTGCCGTTTTATATGCTCAAGCTCTTTAATTTCTGGTGGATTCTGATTGGCTGTCAATGTTTTTCTCATTCATCAGCTGGAAAAAAAAATCGTTCTGAAAGTGCCACTGTCATGCAATAGATGTGTGATTAAGCTATTTAAATTTTTTAATTCTGAACGATTTTTTTAATCATTATAGTTATTATCATCCTTGGTGTGAGCAGGTGATCCTGGTGTAAACACACTTTAAAAATCTGTCAAAATGCTAGTATTTATGTCTTGGGGGGGGGAAAAAATACCACAAAAAAGCCCAGAAAGATTAGAAATGTATCATTCCCTTTGTACCTTGTTAAAAAGAACCCCTTGATATCATGGATCCACAGATCAGTTTACAGAAGAGATTTTGTGATGCAGTTAAAGCAGTTGATCTCGTAGAGATTCTGCTGTTCAGCCTTTTATTTAAGAGATCTGAAGACTACATAAAATGTCCTATATATACTGCATTGCAATAACAAGAGTGTTTGTCTGTGCTTCCTCATATTGAAGGACTGCAGCTGCACTGGATTCCTCTCTGCAGACTAAACACACATATACACTGTTTATTTCATGCTTAATGATGATTAAAGTAATGTCATCATATATAAATTATGCATACGTAAATCATATGCAAAATGTGAAAATAGGAATTATGTAGTGATAAATCCAGGGAGAAAAGCTAAACTATATGTTAGTTACTTCAAGGTAGTAAGCCTGTGCTTAAATTACCGCTCTAGACATTCTCTCATTTGACTTCATGAGGTGCATCCTGGGATGCTATCAGTATTAAAACGTACTAAAGTGTTCTCGTGTGGTGGCCACTTGTTGGCTGCTTTTCCTTCACCATCTACTAAAATGTATTAAAAACAATTGAAAAAGGTAGTGGTTAATTTGAAAGAAATGTATAACTTTGAAGACTTTGTCTCATAGGAACCATTATTTATCTCGTCGCAGGCTTCAAAGTCTGTGGTCTGTAGTCAAAGGTTGTTTTCCTCTTGGGGGTGCATGACTGTCAGAAAACCTAGAACCACATTCAAATCTCAGGATGCTTTGAGTCATTTCATTTTGATTCTGTGGCTGTATTACACAAACATTCTAACGCCGAATATTTTCTTATCTGACCACTGTCATTTCACTTTTTGTAATGTAGCCCCTGAATCACATTTAGAACAAGACAAAGTCAGACCTGAGGACTCTCCCATAACCCCACCCATAAAAAAATATAGGTACTTGTTTAGTATTGTACTATTATACCATTTATATAAATATATTTAATATATATATACTGTGTATATATATAAATAAATTACTTTTTTATTTAATAAGTTAAATAAAAAAATAGGTTATGTAAGATTTATTATTACAAGCAAATTATTATTATATTATTATTGCACTATTATTATTATTATTAATCATACTTATAATTTTATTAACATATACAATTTTTTGCTTTTAGCAGGTGTTGACAATCAGACTAAGTCATTGACCTTTGCCCTATCTAATCAATATCAATATCAAACATCTCTGATAACACAATCCAGCTATTCTATTAAAATCTTAATTCTAGTGAAATTATAAAAAGAGCATTCTGAGAAAATAATTAGCTAAGTAAGGATGTAAATGATCAATATATTTGAGAGTCTGTGAAGAATGTGTTGTTTTGGGGTATGTTGTGTTTACAGGTTTTTATACATTTAGTTTACAGTAACCAAATTATGTATTTTTTTTTCTTAGCAAGCAGGAAGAGCTAGAGAGAGCCAGCATGTAACCTATACTTGAACGGAACCTGTGTTGTTTCACTTTTAGTTTCACTTTCGTGTCAGCATCACTGATTGGCCCTGTCTCATTACCATTTATGGTGAAAAAGATAACAGCAAAGTATCACAACGCAGGACTCAGGAGCCTGTGTGTTGCTCTAGTTCAGGGGTGTCCAAACTACGGCACTGTCTTAAATAGTCTATATATTATATATGGCCCTCCAAGCATAATTTACAAAATAGACCTATGCAGTTTCAAAATGTCAACACAAGATGACGGCACTACATTTTAGACCAGATGTAGCAGTAAAACGCGAGTGATAACAATTTAATAACTCATATACACTCTCATTTCTTTAGCTTTTTTTATGTACGATGGATAATTAAAACAAAAATCAGGTGTGTGTATTTATAACATCAATTACTAGGCCTACATTCTTTTTTTCAGAAATGGTAGTAACTTAAAATGTTATTGTGTGTTTGTAATTGTAATATTTTTATCTATAGGCCTATACAGCAAAACTCCAGAGCTTCCAGTAGGTTATTTTACGGAGCTGTAAACACGGGAATCTCCGACCACATGCAATCTTTGACGAACACCCAATTCATATATCAAACTAGGCTATATGTTATTAAATTGTACATAGGCTATATATCAGATTATTTTATTTTAAAAGTTTCATGTGTGTTTAACCCGTCCCCCCCCCCCTTTTTTTTCTTATAGAATTTCATAAAGAATTAAAAAAATTGTTGTTGTTGTTGACAACTGCAAAATGGTTAAAGGCATCATAAAAGATTGTAAAGGTATTCCTGTGGAACTTGGTCTTCATCACATCTATTTTCTGTTTCTATTTTGTTTTACTTTGTATTTATTCATATTCAATGTCATATATATATATATACAGTGGGGCAAAAAAGTATTTAGTCAGCCACCAATTGTGCAAGTTCTCCCACTTAAAAAGATGAGAGAGGCCTGTAATTTTCATCATAGGTATACCTCAACTATGAGAGACAAAATGAGAAAAAAAAATCCAGAAAATCACATTGTAGGATTTTTAAAGAATTAATTGGTAAATTCCTTGGTAAAATAAGTATTTGGTCACCTACAAACAAGTTGAGAACCTTGGTGAGAAAGTTAGTTACAGTTAATATATTATTGTCACAGTGTGCCAAGTACAGAGTGGATCTATTTGCACCAATAACTTTATAGGAACAAAAGGAATATGGCCAACAACAGCACAAACGCAAACTGAAACCTGGTATGTGTATAGACAAAGACTGGCTAAACTGAACTGAAAACACTGGCTTAGGTACACAAGGAAGGTAAGGAACTAAACAAGGGACACACCGATCTTAGTTTCTGAAAGACATATTATACATTGTATTACTTGTATACTTTATTATTTGCAATAATTTAACTGGTCCTGTATATGGAAAATTAGAATAAATTTTATTTTTACATATTTATGTTTTCATATTTATGAGCACATAACCCCACGCATACCTTAATTCTAACCATTTCTAAATAATATACTGTTGTTATAAACATAACGGCATTCTAAAAGTATTCCAGACCAAGCTTCATGTACTTTTTCACTGCTACACAGCAATAAAGTTAGTTTTAAGTTTTGTCTTGCACTATTCAATCCAAAGGTTTCTTATTGAAAGCAATGGGCTTGAGCTTACCACCCACATAAAGACGCTAAAAGACTTTTACTGTCTGTATAGTGACACATTTCTCTTGGACATGTGGCAATATCAAATGCCTTAGAAGGTAGAACAGGTTAGATTTTTAAGTTCCAAAATGTTCCTGGATTATTTAACTGGTCCTGTATATGGAAAATTAGAATAAATTAAATTTTTACATATTTATGTTTTCATATTTATGAGCACATAACCCCACGCATACCTTAATTCTAACCATTTCTAAATAATATACTGTTGTTATACACATAACGGCATTCTAAAAGTATTCCAGACCAAGCTTCATGTACTTTTTCACTGCTACACAGCAATAAAGTTAGTTTTAAGTTTTGTCTTGCACTATTCAATCCAAAGGTTTCTTATTGAAAGCAATGGGCTTGAGCTTACCAGCCACATAAAGACGCTAAAAGACTTTTACTGTCTGTATAGTGACACATTTCTCTTGGACATGTGGCAATATCAAATGCCTTGGAAGGTAGAACAGGTTAGATTTTTAAGTTCCAAAATGTTCCTGGATTAAACAGCTAAAGGAACTGAGAAATATCCATTAGGCTGATTGTTAATAAAAGTTTACCTTGAATCTTTCTGTCATTTTCGGTGAGTTTTGTATCAATGTAGAGGATACGTTTTGATTCAGGTCCCCAGTCTTTCAGAAACTCATTCAACATGGCCTCAGCCTGCACGTAAACATATATATTATTAAAACACATTTATAGGAACACTCATACCCATGTACTCTATATTCACTATAACACACTGAAAGTGTCCTCACCGATACACCTTTATTGGGTTCTCTGCGGTACTGTTCAACAATGGCATCTCTGTCTCTGCAGTAGAGTTCATATCCTCCAGACTGACTGTACTCTCCATCCTGCAGCCGTTTATTCATGTCAGAGTACAGATTCTTCAGCAGATCTCTGCACTTTCTCTCTGATGCCTTTTCATTATCTTGCAGTAGGCCTACAAAGCATTTACCTACTGCTTCCTATAAAACATATAAACACATGGAAATACAATCCGAAACATGCACAAATACACCTATTCAAAGCCTGAATGTTCTGCAGTGTTTAGATACACTGTTAGTTTAGTTTCACTAATCTGATGGTCGTACAGTAGGAATTAATTCGGTCACAAAACATCAATACAATGAATCAATCTCCAACCTCTACATATACTTTCCAGTAGGGTTAGGTTCAGGTGTGGGAGTGGGTTAGGGTTAGGTTTTTGGGGATAGCTATCTCAAGTGAACTTGGGACATTAGTGGGGACACATAATTTTCCTTTAAGAAAACATTGAACAACACCTCTTCCTTTCCTGATCTATTCTAGGTTGCATATATGTTCTCAGCACAAATGTTTGTTTTTTTATATAAATGTCATTTTTTAATATAATTGTTTAATATAATTAGTCTATATTAAAGTCTAAAGATAAAAAAAATCTTTAAAACTTTATAACTCATATAAATTACATAAGATCTGTGTATTTAGGATATTATATACACATCTGACTGTCTGAACACCTGACTAGCATTTGTATGTGCATTTATATAAATTTGCATAATGGTATCATAGTCAATAAATTACTTATGGTTGAATTCTGTGCTAATTTGTCTGTAATATTACCACAGCTCTGTTATAAGTGAAAAACTAGAAAAAAGGTATTTTTAAAAAAATCTACTGAATCCTTCTCCCCCTCCAGCTTTCTTAAAATAAATGCACCACTGTTTTCCTGCACATACAAGAGGCTACAAATATATTAAGATATAAACACAAAATGTCAAATTATTGCCCAATTAAATAATGATTATTAATAATGACAGATTAACAAAAATAATAATAAATAATAATAATAAAATAATAATATTATTATTAATTATATTATTATATATTATTATTATCATGTCTGCATGCTTATATGAGTTGGTTAGTGACTGTGTATTTAAAACTCACCATCAGTTTTATTAGGTATTCTCCTTTTTCATCTTTAAGGGAGCATTTCATGAATTCAGAGATGGCCAGATTGCTGAACTTCTGGTGCTCTGAGGTAATGTCAATCACACTTACTGGGAACATATTCTTCACCTGTGAAACAGAATATGTGCATGCAATTTGCCACTGAATGGCTGCCAAAACTGTGGTACCTAAACTAAAACTGTTCACCAAGTTAAACACCTTTATTTGACTCAAGTGAAAAAACATACTTTTGACTAGCCTGTTACTGAATACTATCATAAACTACATAAGTTTCAAAATATTGCCCATGATAAGTGTCTATAAAGCTGTCTATGATAAAAAGAAACCTGAGATTTCATTAGTTATACCTCCAAAGTGTATTTGTATAAATGAAAAAAAAAATAAAAACTGAGAAAGGTTAAAGAAGCTTCAGTAAGTGCCATTTAATGTTATGAGTGACAGTATTGAATGTGTGATATTCTATGTCTTACCTCTTCTATCCCATTCTGATATACTTTTAAAGCTTTTTGAACAGCTGCCTCATTCTCTAAAATTGCAAGAGTAGAAACTGCATTGTCCAGACAGGGCACTTCACCACTGCTGATTGTGTCTACATAATAAAAACTGAGAAAGGTTAAAGAAGCTTCAGTAAGTGCCATTTAATGTGTATGAGTGACAGTATTGAATGTGTGATATTCTATGTCTTACCTCTTCTATCCCATTCTGATATACTTTTAAAGCTTTTTGAACAGCTGCCTCATTCTCTAAAATTGCAAGAGTAGAAACTGCATTGTCCAGACAGGGCACTTCACCACTGCTGATTGTGTCTACATAAATCTGCACCAGACGCCCGAGCACTGATAAAATGCACAAACACAGATAAATAAATGTACCTGTTTAATAGGCTTTTGGACTTGAATATCTACCAATGACTATTAAATTGGTGAAACACTCACATTTGCCAGTAATTCTGTGTCCTCCTTTCAGAGTTTTCACAGAACTCTTATGAAAGACATGGTCACAGAAACGACCTGTGACCTCCAGAAAATTTGGTACAAGTTCCTGTTCTTCTAAGTTTTCCAAGTGTATCATGTTTTCAGTCGAGGCGGGAGATGGGAATACAAAACAGTTCCGGGATGGGAAATAGTTTCGGATGCATTGACGAGGCAGGTTGTAGTCACTGATTTTCTTATTCACACCTAGATGAGTTTAACAAGAAAATATATTCTTACCAAAATGCACTAACATAGAGTCAACATTTTCTATTTTCATTCTTCAGTCACGATTTGTTTACCTTCAAATGCTGCTTGATGCGTATAATATTACATATTAGCTGAATTAACTGAACTTAAATCAATAGTCAGACCTATCTGTCACACATGACTAACATGATTTTAGCCAGGGTTTTTCTGCTTTTTTATTATTTGAAATGCATAGATTATTTCCAAATCTTTGCATTTACAATGCTAGGGGGGAAAACAATCAATAGACCTTGTAATTCTTTCTTAAATACCTTTCTTCAGATCGAGGGCAAACTCAAGGTACTCATCTTCTGTCACTTTCTTTCCATCAGCTTCTAACTTCAATGTGAAATCTCTCACGACCCAGATGAATGATGGGAAAAAACGCACAAAATGACAATCGTCTCCTTCAGCTGCTCCTGCTGGTACAGATAATAGTGACCTGATGTTGATCTGCTCACTGAGCTCAGTAACGTAGCTGCAGCACATTGAGAAATAACAGCATCTCGCAAAGTCTGTATAAATGAAAGAGGGTTACATGTGGCAGAAAAAAGGATACTGCAGATTCTCCAACGCAGTGTTATCGATTATGCCACGGCTGTTGTACACCAGAGTGCTGCTGAGCAGAACAGCCAGACAGAAGATCCAGCCGTCATTCTTAGAGTCTCCCTGAAACACACAGTGTCTTCAGATCAAATCATCCACAAATTAATACATATTTAGAAGAATAATAAGTCTACAGCTTTATCCTTGTCCTCACTTTGTCCACGTCACCAAGTCCCTCTGTGTCCAGCAGCACCAGAGTGTGTCCGTCTTTATAGGGGTGAGGGACACACCACATCCAGATGCCTTTGGTTTTCGATTCAACAGCACTGCCAAGAGCAAAGCCTGAGATAAGCAAATTATATTTATATAACCACCAATTTTTATGCAATTGTTGTGAGACTTGACTTGTATTAATTATGACTGTATATTGTTAATGGCAAAGTAGCCTTCCAAAACACATCACCTGACTGTTGTCCTGCCAGGCGGTTCATAAGGTAAGACTTCCCCGTACGGTAGAGTCCCACCACAGACACCACCACCACCGGCTCATTGATCCTACTCAGGAACTCAATGGCATGCTTACAAACGCTGAGTGATCCGTTCACATTCTCCACCAAACATACGGGCGAAGGCATTAGTCTGGATTTAGACATGCTGGCACACTTTAGCTCATTCTGTATGTTCAAGGACAAAATATTTGAAGGTGAACAAATTTATTACGGGTTTGAAATGACACAATGGTGAGTAATGATGACAGAATTTCCATTTGAGTTGTGAGACTTCCTGTGAATTTTGTTTCAGAATCAAACAATACTTCATTCATTCAAAAAATTCACAAAATTCTAACCTTTCATTGAAGTAAAACAATTGAAAGTGGGAGGAAACTCATATTATGAAATAAATGTTTTTCTCCAATGCATGCATGCACAATTATTGGCACCCCTAGAAATTCTTATGAGTACAATATCTCTGAAGTATATTGACAATCATATTTACATTTTAGCACACCAGGGTGACTAGCATGGACTAGCATGTCCAGCCATGACTTCCTGTTCCACAGGATTATAAATATGAGGAACACAGAGGCCAAATTCCCTTAATTATCCATCACAAGGAGTAAAATCAAAGAATATAGTTCTGATGTATGGAACAACATTGTTGAGCTTCACAAAATAGAAAAGGCTGTAACATGGGTCACCAAAATTGGTCCTGGAGGGCCGTGTTCTGCTTAGCTCCAACCCTGATCAAACACACCTGAACCAGCTAATCAAGGTCTTGCTAGGTATACTTGAAACTTCCAGGCAGGTGTGTTGAGGCAAGTTTGAGCTAAAATCTGCAGGACACCAGCCCTCCAGGACTCAGTCTGGTGACCCCTGCTGTAAGAAAATAGCTAAAGTAGGCCTGTCACAAACTTCTTGTTGTGCGCTATATTGCCACAGAAATAATTGCATTAAGCGATATTATTGTCATTTTAAAGACCATTTTATGCCACTGAATATATAATCATAATGTAACAGCTAAATAATGCAAGAAGGCCTACACACTTCCAAATGACAACAAACTTTTAATTTTTAAGAATATTTAGATCATGGAAATTAAGTATCAAAATATTAGATACCTTAAAAAACTTTAATAAATAGTAAATAAACATTTTCTAACAAAAAGTGCAAAGTAACAAGTACAAAAAAAGAAAAATGCACAAAGAACTTGTATGGAGATTTTTCCATCTACAGATTTTTCCCTGACCTTCTTTTCTCTGTAAATTAAGGGTGCACACTATTGCTGAAAAACACAATCACTATTTAGCAGTCAGATGTCCGTATGCACAAAGGCACAGATCCCTAAACAAGGCCATATTCTTCAGATAAAATATTTTTTGTAGAAGCATTATTTAAATTTGAACTAGCATCTCATGACTACACCACATTATGTACGAGAAGCTGCAAAAGACACAGGCACAAGTGGAATGTAAAAAACACGGTGACATTAATTTTTAAGTAAATATAATGGCCGATATATTGCGTCACCAAAAATTATTGAGGTCATGTACATATATTGCGCGATAAGTCGATATATTGATTATTGCGACAGGCCTAAGCTAAAGAAATCCCCATTTCCACCATCAGGGTAATAATTAAGAAGTTCCAATCAACTAAAGTACCACATTGTGTTTTATCAAGTCCAAAGTCAATGCAGCCGTCTACCAGGAGATTTTGGAGCACTTTATGCTTCCATCTGCTGTCAAGCTTTATTGAGATGCTGATTTCATTTTCCAGCAGGACTTTAGCACCTGCCCACAGTGCCAAAATGTGCCATGATATTACTGTGCTTGATTGGCCAGCCAACATGCCTGACCTGAAGCCCATATGTAATCTAGGGGATATTTTCAAGAGAAAGATACAGAAACAGAAACAGTTGATCAAACCATACAGACGGCTCTGAAGGCTCAATAGTGCCTCAGGAGTGCCACAGGCTGATCGCTTCCATGCCACACCTCACTGATGCTGTCATTTGTGTTAAAGGAGCCCTGACCAAGTATTGAGTGCATAAATTAACATACTTTAAAGAACTTGAACTTTTCTGTTTTGCAAATCCTTTTTTGACTTATCTTAGGAAAAATTCTAATATTTTGAGATACTGGATTTTTGACTTTCATGAGCTGTAAGCTCTAATCATCAAAATTAAAACAATTTTTTTTTTAATGTTTTACTTTACATGTAATGAATCTATAATATATGAAAGTTTCACTTTTTTAAATAAGTTACCAAAAAATAAAATTTTTCACGATATTCTAATTTTTTTATATATTAAATAAATAAAAAAATGCTTGCTATGGACTACAGGACTGGGTTCTATGGTCAGATGAAATTAAGACGAACTTTTTGGCAGCAAACCCACCAGATGGGTTTGGTGCAAACAGATAAAAAGCTCACACCCACAGTTAAATATATTGCTGGATCTTTAAAGGTGGGGTAAGTGATTTCTGGTAGCCAATGTTGATATTTCAAATCACCAAAACAAACGCCCCTAAGCCAAAAAGGTCTCGCCCCTATTTTGATAACGCCGCCCCACACATACGTTCGCAACTCAGGCAACGATTATGGCAGAATCTTCTGTATTATTATCTGCTGTATTAAATATATTATCTTACTTTTCGGACACACTTTGGGAGCTGAAGCTTGAAACAGACAGTGGAGGAGGTTTAGACGCTCCAGGCTAATAGGGTGTGGAAATGATGAATGTGTCTTTATCATTGCTGAAGGGAACGACAATAGGATTGCAGATGAACAATCAAGCAAACATGACACACGAGCATATTCAAGCAAAAACCAGCATATATTAGTTCTGTGAAACAAAGCAAAACCAATGTTTCTCACCTATCGAGAAGAAACAATGCAACCTCGGAATCCGATCGCAGGCCTCCACTCCTTGAGTTCTCTCCAGCGCTGGAAAGCTGGATCCGATATTTACACGGGTCCTACTTCTTGCCTTATTGTAAACAATCTTTTGTTTTTTTATCCGCCATCTAGATCTTTCTGTTCGGCTTGGCTAATGTCTGTCCTGTGCACTGAGTGCTCTCGCCACCACATCATGGGTAGACACGCCCCTTACTGCTGATTGGCTACAAGTTTGTTTGTTTTACCTTTATTAATTAGTTGTCTTCTTTTACATAGGGAACTACTGAACAGACATTTAAAAGTAGGCCTATACTTCAGTGCAAAATATAAAAAATGCAAAAACTTGACACAATGATGAGTCATCACGTCCAAAGACTTTAAATCACTCTCACCAGCACAATGCAAATGATTGTCACTTGACAGGCCTCTTTCACCAGGAGACAATGGATGAGGTTTCCGGGTTTGGAATGCAGAAGTATAAAGAACACTTTTTACGGGGTTGAGCTTATAAAGGTACATGGAAGAACATAGCAAATATTATTTTTGCTTTCCAATTTACCCCAAAAGCAACAGAAAAATACACTATTGCATTTCGACGACTTTCAAAAATCGTAAACATACAGAGATAGATCACGGCAGTCAAAAGAGAGAAAGATGTCAAATCTACCGTCACTCCCACAGCAACAGTAGCCTATTCGAAACTTATCATGACAGGTCGTTACCTAGTGTTGTAGTATAGACTACGTTGAGCAACCCTAAACGACATGTTTTAGTTAGTAGAAGATCTTACCGATGTTGTTTCTCACTCCTGTAGTTCTCAGTAAGTTATTGTTTGAGATGACGTTAAACTGATGGTTCTGAGTCACCTATTACTATCCAATAACAAGTATACTTGCACTTTCGTGACAGCATCACTCCCAGATAACGCACATCCATAGGCCTATTTAGTACCATTTAGAGAACAAGGTAACAAACCTGTTAGACAGGATCTTTTTTTTTTGACGACGACAACAACAAATTCAGGCATTCAGCTGCTTTTCCGTGAGGTAATTAACAGTCAGATTTAAGTTTTATTATTTTTGTGTTAGTATAAAATCACCACAATGGCTTTGTTTATTCAAAAATATTACTTTGTTTATTATTTTATGTAACTTCTTGCGTTATGTTTTTGAGTCATGGCGTGTGGCGGGTTCATGTCTGCTCCGGTGTGTTTTATTCTCACTCCTGTAGTTCTCAGTAAGCTATTGTTTGAGATGACGTTAAACTGATGGTTCTGAGTCACCTATTACTATCCAATAACAAGTATACTTGCACTTTCGTGACAGCATCACTCCCAGATAACGCACATCCATAGGCCTATTTAGTACCATTTAGAGAACAAGGTAACAAACCTGTTAGACAGGAAGAGCCTCTAAAGATCTTTTTTTTTTGACGACGACAACAACAAATTCAGGCATTCAGCTGCTTTTCCGTGAGGTAATTAACAGTCAGATTTAAGTTTTATTATTTTTGTGTTAGTATAAAATCACCACAATGGCTTTGTTTATTCAAAAATATTACTTTGTTTATTATTTTATGTAACTTCTTGCGTTATGTTTTTGAGTCATGGCGTGTGGCGGGTTCATGTCTGCTCCGGTGTGTTTTATTGAAAACGATGAAAATGGGAAGCTGTGTGTGAGAAAAGAGGCCAAAGACATTCTGGATGGGCTCAATGAGCCGGTGGTGGTGGTGTCTGTGGTGGGACTCTACCGTACGGGGAAGTCTTACCTTATGAACCGCCTGGCAGGACAACAGACAGGTTTTAAATAGCTTAAAATCTTCCTCGTGTGCAGTCAGACTACTATAATGACATGCAAACAATATTTAAAAATATTTTGGGCATCTTCATTTGTTTTTGATTAATGTGACTGTCTCAGGCTTTGCTCTCGGCAGCACTATTGAATCAGAGACCAAAGGCATCTGGATGTGGTGTGTCCCTCACCCTAATAAAGAAGGACACACTCTGGTGCTGCTGGACACAGAGGGACTTGGTGACGTAAGGAAGGTGAGGAGGAAGGGCACACAGCATCCACAATGATGTTTTCATAGCAATGTTACCTCTCAGAATCTATCATCACCTGATCTGTGCTTTCAGTTTTCATTAGCTAGTCAATGTACCATGGCTGTGTTATATAAACTTTGCTCCCAGGGCCACAGCACTACTCTCAAATGATGCTCAAATGGTTTAGAGTTTACAGATCAGTTTTAAACTAAACTAATTACAGTCGGATGTAGCTGACATTCTCTTAATATTTCAGGGGGATGAGAAACATGATACATGGATCTTCTGTCTGGCTGTTCTTCTCAGCAGCAGTCTAGTGTACAACAGCTTAGGAGTCATTGACAACACGGCACTGGAAAAGCTGCAGTATCCTTCTCGCACTATAAACAAACAAAAACATGCACATACAGGGCAATAAATTGAAAACACTCTCTCGTAGCAGCAGTGTAACTCTTCCTGAACAGTGCTGAATTTAGCTATGTTACAGAGCTGACGGAGAACATTCGTGTGAAGGCAGAAGTGGGTCAACATGAGGACGAGTCGGCAGATTTCATTCGTGTTTTTCCATCGTTTGTCTGGGCTGTTCGTGACTTTACTCTGCAACTGAAAAAGGGGGATAAACCAATAACATCAGACGACTATCTGGAGGGTGCACTGGAATTAAAACAAGGTGAAAAACAGAATTGACACTAAAAACATACAGTACATATTTACTTTCAGAGTGCAGGGACATTTGAATTTGACATTTTAATGTAGAAATTAAGATAATGTGGAAATACACAAATTACAAGTCCTATCAGGCATTAAAGGGTTAGTTCACCCAAAAATTTAAATTAGCCCATAAATTACTCACCCTCAAGTCATCCTAGGTGTATATGACTTTCTTCTTTCAGACGAATCCAGTCGGAGTTATATTAAAAATGGTCTTTGATCTTTCAAGCTGTTTAATGCCACTCAGCGGGTGTTGCATACATCAGTCCAAAAGAAGTTAAATAAAAAGCACCCATCCATTAAAAAAAGGGTCACACATGGCTCCGGGGTGTGAACATAGGCCTCCTGTAGCGAATCGATGTGTTTTTGTAAGAAAAATATCCATATTCAAAACGTAATAATCACTTTAATGTAGCTTGCGCCAACAGTTGTACACGGAAGCAGCTCCGGGCGGATGACGTATGAGTTCAGCGCTGCGCATGCGCCGGTGAGTCTCGTGAAAACCAACGTTTGTTAACAGGAGCAAAGGAAGCAAAGTTTCCTTACTTTAGCAAAGGAAACCCAGTCTCCTCTTGGCTTATATCAAAATCCTCCGACATTCTTCTTTACAAGTCCTCGTTTTGTACTTCTAATAAGTGTTTTGTTTTGATCTCTCCCCTGCGCTTCCGAGTTCGTCACTTCTGAGCGGCGCATGCGCAAAGCCGACCTCATTCGTCATCCGCCCGGAACTGCTTCCGTGTAGGACTGTTGGTGCAAGCTACATTAAAGTGATTATTACGTTTTGAATATGGATATTTTTCTTACAAAAAAACATCGATTCGCTACAGGAGGCCTTTGTTCACCCCCCGGAGCCTTGTGAGATGCTTTTTTTTTTTATATGGATGGGCGCATTTTATTTAACTTCTTTTGGACTGATGCATGCAACACCCGCTGAGTATACCATAGACATACACCTAGGATGACTTGAGGGTGAGTAATTTATGGGCTAATTTTCATTTTTGGGTGAACTAACCCTTCAAGATTTGATCACATTTTGAACACGTTTCAGCCATCTATCCTGCAAAATTTTTAGTATTTTCATTCCATCTTAGTCCAGGATAAGTCTTAGTGTCATTTCACTTGGCTGCTTACAACACTAAAAACAAAATTGGTAACACAAAATAAAATTAAAATCTATTATGGTCTGATCAAAGAGCAATGGCAGCAATAGTGCATTGCTCTGCCTAACATAAAAAAAATACAAACATTAATTATAAATACAATACTGTTATGAATAAAAATTGATAACCATTTTTAATAAGAATTTGTAACATGTTTTTAAAAAATTGTCAAACACAAAAACACATGCCAGTAAAACAAAGAAACAGAGAAATAATAGAGATGTACCATTGTGTTAGCAAGATGAGGATGTGTTTTCTCTCTAATGAGGAAGCAACTATTACAAATCAATGTTGCTCCAATAGACTCTTAACATTGCAATTCCAATCATAATTTTTGGATTTTGGACAGAAAGTAAACATTGTATCAGTGTCACCTTTCTATCTGGGTTACTTAGACTTTGAGAAAAAGTTGCAAGGAATGTAGATAAATTGCTGCCATGTGATTCCTTTACAAATATATTTATGGCACCTGGGGTGGTAGATCTGGTTAAATCTGCTTATTTGATTTTTTATTTTAAACCTCAACTTGCAATTTCTTTATTTCTGTTCATTAAATTGTAAAATAATTATTACACTAAACTGTAGGCTAATCAATTTAGTCATCATTTAAAAAGAGTGAATCTACATCCCCATTGGCGATTCACATAAATTATAAATATTCTTGTTTATTGCATAAATTGGTATATATGTATGTTTACCAATTTTAATAGGATTTTTAAAGGAAAATATCTTTGCAGCCCTGTAACCTTGATGTATACATTTGGCAGAAGAGTAGGCCCCTATATCCAAAATGATTTACATTTCATTTAAGGTGTTCTTTTATCATGCATTCCTTGTCAATCAAACCCATGAACTTGCCACTGCTAGCATCATGCTCTGATAGTTTTAAAGGGGTCATCGGATGCAAAATTCACTTTACATGTTGTTTGAACATAAATTTGTGTTGGAAGCGTGTGTACACATCCACCCTATAATGATAAAAATCCACCCAGTGGTTTTTTAAAAATCCCTATTTTAAAATCCCCTTTTTCAAATCAGGCTGTTCTGAGATTCCTGTCAGAATGACGTAGTTCTGCACAGGCCGCTCCCACGATAGTTGATTGACAAGGCCGTCTTACCTTAGACCCGCCCTTAGTGAGCTGTGAGCTTTCCGACATTGTGTCGACCAAAGTGCAGAGGAAGACAAGAATGTCTCCGATTAAGTGATTGAGCTGTTTTGTTGTTGGATGTAATAATGAACACAGCAGTCGTCATTTACTCCCAACATCTGAGCCGCTGAAGACGCAGAGGATTAACTTTACTTTCATTTGTGAAGGGAATGCACCGATCCCCGATCTGCCTAAATGTGTTTATGTTCGCGCAAATCATTCGTGATCCAGCTTCATCTACAGAAGAAGTGAGTATAAGGTTTTTTATGAATCTTTGCAAATCGCCTTTCCTAATATGTACTAGTTAGCAAGTTTCGCGGCTGAAGTTTTACAGTCTGCTCATCACCTCACGAAGAGAGGGGCGGGATTAGCAGAGCTCATTAGCATTTAAAGCAACAGAGCTGAAAACAGAACTTTTTTTGACAGGGTAAAAAGGGTGTTTTTTTACACTACCATTGAGAAATTTTAACCAAAGTATGTTATAGACTTTTCATTAAGACCCTGAAGAACCATATCAACTTGTGGAAAATGGGTATCCGATGACCCCTTTAAATATAATATGATATCATTGATGATTTATAATTATCGTATTTTAGGTAGCTCACCTCAGACTGTGCAGTATAACCTGCCACGCAGCTGTCTGCGGAATTTCTTTGCGGTGAGGAAGTGCTTTGTCTTCCCTCGGCCTGCTAGTATGGAAAGCATGTGGATAATGGAGGAGCTGACTGAGAAAGAACTGGAGTCAAAGTTCCTTGAGCAGGCAAACACCTTCTGCCATTACATCTACAACAATTCAAAGACAAAAACTGTCAGTGGCGGCCGTACAATTACTGGAACAGGTGTGTGTCTTCACATAATTACTTGTAGAAAACAAATGCATAAAAACATCGTTATAAAACTCTTTTGAGAAGCATCATTTCTATCACTCTGTAGAAATCTG